AGTGGGGCCATGGTAGTTTGAAGTGAGAAGTCAACCGCCGTTTAATAGACTTTTTTGCCGTATGAGTATACGTTGCCCAGGGTGCACCACGTGGAGGTAAGTCTATCGCACACCCCATGAAAAATAAATTAAAATAAATATATGACATTGTAGGAGTGACAATCGCTTCTACTGTGATCACTGGACGCAACGGAACCAAACTGACCAGTAGAAGATAGACTATGAACATGGTGGCTGAGTTTAGTCCGCATTGAATTCGATACCAATGATCTTCAAACGAGGGCAACTCATGACCTATCTCCTGAATTAAAATTGAAAGTGCTCTCTCATAGTAATAATTGAATCCAGATGTGACGCATGCATTGAGATCAAAAATGAGGAGGTGGATGATAAGATTTCTAATTATGACAGGGTTAAAAGTATGCAAGCATGACGACGTACTCTAAAAAGAAATTTTAATTTCTACAGACTGATGAATAGGTGAGTTATTGATTTAAATATCTCGGATTTTCGTGAGATTATCCGTCTTGAGTTATGCTCTTACTTAACGCACCCACTGGCGGTTCTTTCTTGAAAAGTTTACTTTCAATTGTACCTACAAAGTTAGAGAGCACTAGACTTACATTTATCTTTGAAATTAGTAAAAAGTACACTTTTTCTTAACGCACCAGCGCAAGCGAGGCTCCTTGTATTACCTCAAGTTTGTTATTGAAGCCAGTCTGCCAGCCTTTTGAATTGACCCTTTCTGGTTTATTGATTATTGAGAGTGTTATTTGATTGCCTATTGACCTTATTATTTATTGCTTGAGAAATATCTAATTTGTGATCAAAGTTATATTGTTCAAAATTTTTTGCCACGCGTACATATCAGAGACTTGTCATCGGTCCATAAGGTCCTGCACCAAAGACTATAAATCGAAGTAGAAGGTTAAAGAGCACTGAGAAGAGGGGTCAGAATGCGAAATCCTGAGTTTTAAAAGAGTTAGTTCATAAAAATGTATTAACTTTCTTCCCTTAGAAAGTGTGTAAAGCACTCCTTTATCATCTCAGTCTACAAACACAACAAATAAACCTTCCCTCTGAATTAGGATATTTATCAAATGTATTTGATAGGCTGGAGTGTGCGATAGACTTACCTCCACGTGATGCACCCTGGGCAACATATGCTCATATGGCAAAAAAGTCTATTAACTGGCGGTTGACTTTGACTTCAAACTACCATCACCCCACTGTATGTCATATTCGACTACTCCCACAGTACTCACCTCACCTTTTTTCTACCTTGGTGTCTGTCTCTTTTACATCTTTGAAACACTCTCCCCCTCCCTCCCCTCTGTGGAGCCTGAAATCAACTGAAGAGCTAGTGATAAATTTCAAAACGCCAGCCATTTGATATTAATAAATTAATATTTGATAGGCTAATATGTTCCGCTCTAATATTCACATAAAGAACCATTTCATTGTAATGAGTAAAAAATTGCATATTTTCTCTTGGCAAACCAGTCAAATATTTATTGATCAAATTATTTATTCCATCTTCTACTTCTGTTACATGCATATTCAAATCAATATAATACTGGAATGAGATTCAGGTAGCATCCTATGATTAAGTCAATTTAAGATTGTTTAGGACCCAGGTTTAAAAATCTCATTGGAAATGATTAGATAAACGAGGAACTTAACTTATCTAACTTAAATTCACAAACTCCCGGAAAGCCCAATAACCTCTTCCTTATATGAAGTGGTCCTTATATAGGCTACGGTCCAAAAGAATGATTGGTTGCCTGATTAACCAATGATGAAACAGTACTGAAGCTATTCCTATTTAGGAAGATTGCGTAATCGATAATCGATAGAGAAGTGCAGTTGACGACACTCTACAAACTTAGTTGACGAAATATCTTGAAATCTGAAGCTTTTCTTCACTCTCAAATTTTCACTCAATGTACCCTAATTTTTGACCTCCGATTGTAAGGCACCGGTTTCATGACAGTTGAGAAATTCCAAGTTACCAGTTAATAGTAAAAATTATAAAAAAAGCAATGCACGGCAAATAAATACGAAGTGAGATTAAGATGTGCCAAGCCAAAGTAATATCCCCTTTTCCATAGCTCAAATCCACCCTACGTTCTGTTGGACTACTGCGTTTTCCATAAACATTCAAACAGCGTAAGATCAAATAATTGATTAGATGATTTACGGATTATTTAGTACTGCCCGGGACTTTGAATTATATTGTTTACGAGAAAATTATAATGCAGTTGGACCGGAAGTCATTTGCCGATGGTACCTCAGTTTGTGCAATTTGAGGCAACAAAATTCGCCTCTCATTTATTTGAATTCATCAATCTCAGTCTTTAGACTCTATATCAAGTTTCGCCCTTCATCCAACGCTTGTTTATTAAGCATTCCTGGTTGAGTGGGTGTAGAAGTAAGTAGTTGTGACATCGAACCGGCCTCAAAGTAGGATGATAATAATTAATTGTTCCTATTCTCATGAACAAAATATTATTAGGCTATACGAAAGACGCCTTTCTCTCTGCCTTACTTACGCAACCGCATATATGCATGAGTAGTAGATATCACATATTTTTTTGGAAATAAAGGTACATATATACTCCATTAATACCCGATAAATCCAGATCCGGTTATCCTTATTCAACATAGCCAATAAAAATACGAGGGGTGTGCGATAGACTTGCCTCCACGTGGGGCACCCTGGCCAACGCATACTCATACGGCAAAAAAGTCTATAAACCGGCAGTTGACTTCAAACTACCATCGTTCCACTGTATGTCATATTCGACTACTAAACTACCATCGTTCCACTGTATGTCATATTCGACCCCTATCACAGTACTCACCTCATCTTTTTCTACCTTTGTGTCTGTCTGTCTGTGAATCACTCTACTGTTCCCCCTCTCGACTTTGATGTTCCTCCTCGTCTCTGTAAAGCCCGAAGTAAGCTAAAGGGTTAATGATTACTGTCAAAACGCCTGCCGTTTGAAATGAAATAAATAAGACATTCAGCCGATAGTCCTCTTCGTTTCCCCCTAAGTATATGAGCGCTGAATGGAAGATATTCCGACGAATACGCTAGCTGAAAGGGGTCTTCATACTTACTTGCATAGGGCTCGGTCCAAGATGTTACGTAATGCAGTTTCTTATGACCCTGCTATTCAAGCGAGCAAAGACTGCTTGGTGCTGAACTTAACTACGTCTCATGACTCAGCTGGAACACCTCCCATCTCCACCACAACTTTTGCTATTCGAAAGGAGCACCTATCCACCTGTTAGACTTTACGAGAAAGCCCTAGGTTTCAAAATGTAGTTTCTCGTGGTCTCTCAGCTAAACCTTTAAACAAAATATGCGCTGTTAAAATCACATTCGTTTCAAGACTACTTTCGTTCTTTTGCATTCACAAAACCCCTATGGTCCAAATCCCCACATGCCTTTTCAAATCCCTTTATTTCTATAACCGCCATATTTCATATTGAAGTACATAAACAAGTAAACTGGTGACCCAAAGAGTTGTTATTGCGATTCCATTTGTAACCACGCCCACTTGCCACCTCCCCCACTCATTTGATCAACTCCTAATCGTGGTTAATTCCACGCACAAATGTTTATGCTCGACGTCTTGGAAGAAACGTTAGCTGGTGCAGTAGTTCCTACAACTTGAAAACCTCTGAACCCCAATACCACCAGTTTACTCTATCTCCAACTGTACAGTATTTATCGATTTTCCAAGTGAGATAGCGCTCTCTTCCATTCTCTCCTAACATTGATACCTAACAAATCCAAATCTATTTATTTTTCAACCAACTGACTCCGATTCACTCTGGCTACAAATTGCAATCGCTGATGGAACACTAGCTATCGAAAACCATCTTAAAATAACTTAAAACTACAAGGCGCCATGTGGTGGCAATTTAAATGACAAAAGAAAAATTCGCCTCACAATGTGCGTGTATGTACTGATGGGATATGATACACACTCGGATGAATAAAAAATAGCAAAAAAGTACACAAATGGGCCTTTCGCCTCCATTTGGATAATCTAAAGCGTAAGGCAGCGGAGAGGAGAATGTGCAAAAGAAGTAAGGGGCAAAATCTTATAAAAGACAACCAAGCATATTAGTGCAGTTTTTCAGATGATTTTGATACTCCAATTCGGTTACATAGACACCTCCACAAGCCGTGCAAGTGAGCTTACTCTCCGGATGCTTTCGAAGATAATGCGACTTGAGAGTACAATTCTGAGTGGAAGAATAATGACATACTCTACAAATGTAGGGTCTTTCACCGGTATGGGTTCGAATATGGACTTTCAGATGACTCTTTTCAACGGTAGAATAAGTACAATGAGGACAGTAGAAAGGCTTCTGTTTGGTATGCTGCGCCATAATGTGTTTTCGAAGGTGAATTTTTTGACGATAGAAACGACCACAGAAGGAACAAGTAAAGGGGAGAAGTTTCGATTTCTGCTCCTGATTATCGATGGGAAGAGAATCGATCATTGGTGGAGGAGGAAGAGATGAGTCATCAACAGGAGAAGTCGAAGTGGAAGGCTGCGTAAGACAATTAAGAAAACTGAAATCCTGCAAAACGGGACTTTTATTGATCGGAGATTTATCAGGAAGAGAAAAAGGACTTGGAGTTGATAATGAATCTATGATAAAAGAATCAGAAAGTTCATCTGTTTGGCAAGTGGAAGACTTTAACGCGGGTGCTTGGGGAGCCGGCTGAGAACTGCAGGAACAAGAATCAACTGTGCATAAACAGGAGAGACTTGTACGGGAACAGCAAAAACTAAGAGCGTAGGAGGATGATTTCGGGTCATTGAATGAAGTCATTTGACGAAAATGCATATCCAATTTGCTGCATGCGATTCTGTGAATGAGACGAAGACTTTCTTCTAAATTTAAGGCAACATTCAAAGGGGTACAAGTCGCAGAATCATATGAAACACTTCGAAAATTTAAAGACTGATTATCGCCTTGCTCAATGTTCTCATTTTTCTGACATTTGCAATTAGTGTTTCGAGATGGATGAGAAGTGAGAGAGAGTGAAGCATTAGTAGAAAATAAAGTCAAATTATTTGATTGATTTACTGTCGGTGAAAATTCGTTGAATTCCATATCAGGAGCTGAAGTACTTGGTCTATCAAGCTCACCGCCTTGGCTTTCATAGACAAGATCGTTCAGTTCGTAAGGGAAGGACTGCAAACTAAAATCATCCGCTTGCTGTGGAGGCAATTCATTTGGAACGCGTAGATTTCTTACGACTTTAATTCCATGATCAGTCTGAACATGATAAAGAAGGGGCATTGGAGTGTTAAAACTACGGAGACATTGAAAACATTGCAAATACTCACAATCCTCGTCAAACATTGAATTAGAGCATTTGGAACGTTTGTGCTCAATAAAAGTAGTCAAATCTGAGAGAGGGAATTCCAAGGAACAAGATCCGCAATAGATAAGATCAGGCCGCATACCCTCCAGAAGCTAACAGACAAACGCGCCGAAAAATAATAGTATAAGGTTAGCCAACCTTTTAAGTTGAAACCTATTGGTAAATTATTTTGTTCTTTCACCACAGAAAACCATTGATTCTGAAAATAAAAATAGAATTTATAATATTATTTCAGTTAAGCGTAATGAATATATAAGACCTTACATTGTTATCCTGGCAAAAAAATAGGGAAATTAAAATTTTACCCAACAGCTCTAATAGGGCCATATAGTGGATGAAATTAAATAAACAAAACAAGAAAATTGTCTCACATTCGAAATTAAGAAAAAACGTAACGTCATCCATGGAAAACAAATAGAAAATCATCATTTTCAATTTGAAAACAAGATCTAGGTGAGCACAGTTGCTTATCTTCGAAAATTCTAATCATCTTAATATTCAAAAGAGTAGGAAATTGAAATTTTCCTTGCTTTATTGTCAAGCGTTTCAATGATGGGAGAATTTTCCGATGGATACATTAAAAATTAGATGCATTAATTGCAGGTTTTCTTCTCAGTGCTTACATACGATGACCCAAAATCATGAAATAGCTATAGATGCAAACTCAATTGTATTTCAATATAATTCAAGGACATTGATTCTAACTAGAATTTATATACACAAGAAGTTGATCTACTTTCCACATGAATAATGCCACTGATTGATATACCAGATATAATAACTCTGATAAAAAATTAATAAAATGCAAAAGTTAATGCAAGTGGTGATTTTTGTTATTTCAATTTGTAATAAAATATGGAATTGTTTTACGCCACCTAATAAAATGTCACAATATGAACTTTGGTTATTCTCAAGGACACAACCATTCCGCGCACAGAATAAAATCATTACAAACTTAATAAAATGGATTCAACAGACGTTTATGGTGACCTTCCATTACAAATGCCTTTATCTCCCGTCGAATTCGTTAAACAACCTAGAGTTGTTCTAAAATTAAGTGTTATGGTAAATTTAATTCCACTGTCTTACATAAAAATTATATTTGTTTAATTTATTCATAATTTCTAGACAGAATTAGAGTTAATTCGATGTAACTTTGAATTTAAATGATTTAATTACCCAAAGAATTGTTTGTAGATTTAATCTGTTTTCAACTTTGCTTAGATTTTTTCCGTTATTGGTCTTGGTTGTGCTACAAACGGCTGTTCTGAGAAGGAACACTTCATTTTTAATAATGACTCTCGCGCTTGCCAATTCGCTGTTGCAGTGAATCTTCTCGGTTTTCTATTCTCTATTTTCTCAATTGTTGCTGATTACCTCTACGACAAGACTGCAAATGTCAAACGTCGTAAATACATTCTTATGAGTGACATCGCGGGTGCTTGTAAGGCCTCAGGTTTTTTTAAATTTTTATATTTTAGTTGGCCAAATTGTTAACTTTTCATTAGTTATTCTATTTTTTTTAATTAATAAGTATTAGTATGTTTATTAAGATATATTTTTAAATCTTATAAATTTTTTTACAATTTGCTGTTTAAATTTGAATGATTGAAAGAAGTTACTTCTCGTCATTTTGGTGTTCTTTTAGCCCTATTCGGATTGCTGAATTTTGTGGCCTTCTGCTATCTGACCAATCGTTGGTCCAACACACACAGCGCGTGGTTAGAGGAGAATGGATTTGAGCATTGGCAGCAGCGCAACGCTCGTTCCATCATCTTCTTTGCGTTTGTCGCCCTCCTCATCTGGGTAAGTCCCTTTCCTCTGCCCCCCCCCCCCCCCCCCCCCCACTGCCACCCTTTGCCTCGCTCTCCCTTTGCACGCACAATTTTACGTGGCCGATTGAGTAAAACTCTCGCGTTCAATAGTTGCGTTCGCGCTACACGCGCGCAGTTTCTAGACCAATTTTAAGGCAGTTTGCTGTTAGCAAAGTCATGCCTTTCCCTGGGGGATAATTACAATTCCGAAGAGAAAATAATTCTAAGCAATCTAGTTATGCTATTATTCTCGTCCCAAAACAATAATAATAAGTTTTTTAGTTGCTGATAAAATTTGGGATACCATTTGAATAAAGGGAATTAATTTTGGTGTGTTTATTTCTAGGGGTTGATTTCGCAATAACATGCACTCATAATTTATCTTCATATTGACACCTGAGAGCGAATTTGAAATTATTTGAAAGCTCTCGAAGCTCTGACCTTGTCTTCCCCAAGTTCGATCTCCTTGGTCTTGATCTTTTAATTAACTAATATTTTGTACCTTGTGCCTGCTAAGTGTTAAGGTTTTTGTAATATAATTTTAGCTGATCTCTGTGTCGAAATGATTTCCGTTCAATTATTTATTTTAATAACTCATTGTAAAGTTGAAAGTATTCATTTATCCTTCCTTCTATCTTGAGCAATATGAAACATTTATATTGAGGTAATCAACCATCTCAATTGATCAACTGACTGATACCCATTAGATAATATGGGAGCGAATACATTCAGTAATTCACAAAAAAATACTTCATGAAATATGGAACTAATGTGAAATCAGATACATTGATTAAATTGCGTTGATTAAATAGTCCTTCTTTGAAATTCTTAATCTCCATCTCTTCCTGGGTTCAGATGATTTTCAATAATAAAACACATCTTGCCGTATTTTATAATATTGCCAATAAATCACCCTCGATATTTAAAAATTGCAGACTTTAGCGGCATTGTCATTAAATCTCAAGATTATTTTAGAGATTATTCTAAATAATAATTATTGTCGGATTATTTTTCCATATTTTTGGATTTGAAAGTCTTTCATCAATTGAACATTCAATCAGTTCAACTAATTATTTGAATTTATTCTCAATTCATTTTTGACGATTGATCAATAGAAAATGAGATTGCGTATTGCCGATCAAGAATTTGATCTGTTATCCCTTTTATCTAGATAGTTTCTAGTCCTATTACCCCTCCGCCTTATTACGTTAGGGTGAAAAAATTGCATGGAAACTGCAAATTTTACATTTTTATCTAAAGTGAAGGAAGAGGATATTGTGCCACTCCGCACTAAGAGCCCTGCTTTGTATTGTTAACTGATTAGTATTTAATTATTAGGTAAAAGAGGTTTTAGATCTTGCAAATTAGAGTTATGATTTAACTCATTCGTCGACCATTACAATCATTATAAAGGGAGAAGTCAACTGCCAGTTAATAGACGTTTTTGCCGTATGAGTATACGTTGCCCAGGTTGCACCACGGACTCTTTTGCCGTGTATACGTTGCCCAGGGTGCACCAGTTTGTTTGCCGTATGAGTATACGTTGCCCAGGGTGCACCACGTGATAGACTTACTTGCCGTATGAGTACACGTTGCCCAGGGTGCACCACGTGGTGCCTTATGAGTATACGTTGCCCAGGGTGCACCACGTGGAGCCGTATGAGTATACGTTGCCCAGGTTGCACCACGTGGAGCTAAGTCTATCGAACACCCCATATTACATAAAAGTAGTAAATACAGAATATTGTCAATTACAGCACTGCACATTTAACATCTCGCATGAAGTATTGAAAGCGTTAAGCATGAATTTCGATAGACAACTCAATACTCCTCTCTTATCTCAACCACACCACATTATTTTATTTATTTTTATAATGCTTACATTTTCAATTATATCCATGTCCTATTTTGTGCTTGACTATGAAAATTTGTTTATGCCTTTTCTGATCATTTTTTTAATATCATGTTATTTGTTGAAAGGTGAGAACTTCAGGCTTCAACTTTGACAAAACAAAAAGCCATTCAAATATATTTTTCTGTGTGTTTTCTTCTTTTTAATGAGGTAGCCTAAATTTACTCTGGGTGTACTACTGATTTCAATTTTTCGCCCTTGTCAGTATTTTTTTCAACCTCTGAAAAATGTCTGGTAGGAACTTGTTTGAACCGTCGCACATTTGTAGAATGTGACTGGATTTTGGTCTTAATAGAATTCAAGTTAAAAAATGAACCTTAATAAGAAGTCGCTAGGCACATTAAATAATGCAATTTCATTTTATCACTGTTGATATTTGATGTTGTTGAATTGAAAATTTCGTGTTAATAGCACTTTTTTCTACGGTTATTTCCCACTCTCGTCCCAAGAAAGTACTGATTTTTATTGCTCTGAACAACTTTTTGGGTGTATATTTTTTTTGAGAAGTAAGTAGACATATTGAGTAACTAATTATGTCAGTTTAAAAATTGACGTTTCGTTAAACTAATCGATAGATTGAAAACAGAGATTTCTTGATTCATATTTTTTTGTAAAATTAGATTATTTTGATGGAAAGTAGTTTCATTATTTTCTCACTATTTTAGACTTAGTATATTACCGTGTATTGAGATAAAAATGTAAATGTGACCTTCGTTTTTTTAAGCTCTTCAACTCCCAAATGTATAATAGAAAACCGGAAATAATTGACGTCCACGGTATATTTCATACTCACTTTTAAGAAAAAAATTTATTAAAAATTTGTTTGAATTCTATCTTAAAACACTTTCCAAAGATTTCGCCGAAAGCATTATCCGATAGTAATGAATTTCAAATCTCTTGAAATTACTATAATTTCATTAATGCATCTTTATTGTTTGATTTTGGCTTTTAGAATGCATTCATATACAAAATGAATTCCTCAATGATAATAAATAAATATCCATTTATTTATTTACATATTTCAAATGGCAGGCGTTTTGATAGCTATCATTAGCCATTTAGCTGAATTCGGACTTTATAGTGAGGAGGAGAAACATTTATTTATTTATTTATTTCAAACGGCAGGCGTTTTGATAGCTATCATTAGCCATTTAGCTGACTTCGGGCTTCACAGAGGGAAGGTTCATCAAAGTAGCAGAAAGTCGAGGGGCGGGGAACAGAAGAGCGATTCACAGATGTAAAAGAGGCAGACAGACATAAAGGTAGGGGAGAAGGTAAGATGAGTACTGTGGAAATGATCGAATATGACATGGAGTCAGGTCATGGTAGTTTGAAGATAGAAGTCAACTGCCGGTTAATAGACTTCTTCGCCGTATGAGTATACGTTGCCCAGGGTGCTCCGCGTGGAGGTAAGTCTATCGCACACCCCAAGGAGGAGAAACATCAAAGTGACAAAAATACGAGAGGGGGGCAGAATAATTATTCACTGATTTAAAGGAGACAGACAGATACAAAGGTAGATGAAAGGTGTGGTTAGTACTGTGGAAGTGGTCGAATATGACATACAATGGGGTGATGGTAGTTTAGAGTCAGAAGTCAACTGCTGATTAATAGACTTACTTGCGTATGAGTAAACGTTGCCCAGGGTGCACACGTGGAGGTAAGTCCATCGCACATCCCATATTATTAAATATAATATATGTATATATATTTCAACTTTTCTGCTTTGTTTCCATGTGATAAAATCAGTTGCATATGCAGGTCATTATACTGTAGTGATTTCATTGGAAGAAGAGAGTCTGATTTGGCAAAGTCCATCCTGATAAGTCAGGAAACTCACTCAAGGAAAGTTGTTTTAGATTTCTTACATTTGAGCATCATGTCTTCCTATGGATAAGTTAATTGGATCTAATTTATCTTCAATTGTTCCTCACCTGAAGTAGGTGATGAGGTGAAGATATTGTAGACCACCGTGTATTAAACTAATGATTTTGAGGATTCGAGAGAGTGAGATGAGATATAGAGAGGGCGGGAGAGGATGAGAGGGCGGTGTACGAGCAGTTAAAAGACCAGCGTGTGTGAGTGAATTTATATATTTTTGCCCGAATAAACAATATTGGGGCTTTTTTCAAGTGCTCTTCGGAGAAGCTGGCTCTAAGTCTAATGACAGCACTGAGAATGACATTCTGATGTGTAAATTTTAAGCCATTTATAGTTTTTTATGAGGATTTTAGACAAGAATCAATGGGACATTGGAACCCGTTGTCAATTATTAATATTAATTTCAAATGGAAAGCTTTATGATAGTTTTCATAAGCTCTTTAGTTGACTTCGGGCTTCATAATGGGGAGGAACATCAAAGTAGCAAAAAGGTCAAGAGGGCGAATAGAATGATTTGAGGTGTGATTCATGGATGTAAAGAGACAGCCAGACAAAGAAGGTAGGGTAAGTACTGTGGAAGTGGTGAAATATGGCATACAGTGGTGTCATGGTAGTTTGAAGTCAATTGCCGGTAGATAAGCTTTTTTGATGCATGTGTATACGTTTCCCAGGCTGCACCGAGTGGAGGTAAGTCTATCGCATACCCCCCCCCCCATGTCGATTAATGTTCTTGAGAAACAGTGATCCTGTCAATAGTACAGGAGCACTGCTTTATTCCAAAAGTATTCCTTCAAAGTTGGCAACTTCGAACCTCCACTGTGCACTTGAAGTATGTTAAGAATGAGATTTGAGCTATCAGAAGCAGTTATTGACGTTTTTGATTGTTTCAACCATGACTTGTTGGTCATATCCAAGCCTACCTAGTCTTCATGACCATCTGACCATTGCAATGACCTTGGGTCAACTTTCTCTTTAATCCTCGTTGAAATTTGACTACTTAAAATAAATTTCCGAATAATCCAATGAGCTTGTTCTGCATACGTCATGGCTTGTGAAAGCGTAATTCTCAGTTCATTCTTCTCGCATAATTAGGACAGTTTCGATGCAGTTACTATCAGATGCCCTTAGTACAATCGTGATAGATCCTGATAAACCGTAGCTTTTAATTTTCACAAATAACTTAGTTTAATGAAGAGCATTAGTAAGTTGGTAATCCATAGATTAAAGTCAGTTCTTAAGGATTTTTAGTGGATTGATACACCAATAAAGTCATGACTAACTTAGAAATCTCCGTGACAGATCTTCCTATAGTCGGAAAGGCTATCGCGATGATAGAGAAAAGGAATAAAGGTTGCAAGCGAAACATTCATTGCCAATTATGATGTTGGTCAACATGATTTGTTATCAAATAAATATAGCCTAACTTGAGTGTCAACTAATAGTTAAAATATTTGAGCAATGCTTTGCACACTCCAAAACGTTCGGGCGAACATTTTATCGAGTGCGGATTGTGCACGCCATAGTTAATTACTATTCGCTTAATTACCATAGTTACCGTAGATCATGCCGAAGCAACAAAATTCAATAATGCTACACTATGCCAAACATTCGGTACATAACTTTTTGTTACCAATGTTCTTATTTGTTAGCACAACTCACTCTAAATCAAGACCATAGACACGGATTATCAATATGAGCTACAAGTATAAGGCACTAATAGCCGTTCATATTTTCAAGCGAACGATGAGTAGAAATTTGTGCACGATCGAAGTACTAACTAATTAATTTAAATATAATTGGTTCTGAATTAATTATTCATTACCAACTTGGAGGTAATATTGAAAAGTTAAAAGTGCTTGAGGAATGTGGTGTTTAAATTTGCCAATCTAAGATTTCATATTCCTTTGAGGTTCCTTCGTCAAAAAATTGTTTTCAGTTGCGAGTAGAAGCATATGACAAAATTGTGGATTTCCATTAATCCAGAGTTTAAATATATTTCTAACACTAAATACTGCCATTTAATTGGTTTAAGCTTTCCGGGGCCTCGGAAATTCTCCTATTCGTATCATATTTGTATCAATTAGGGAAATACTCTTCCCAACGAAAAGAAACCCATGTTTGTTGTGTTTGAATAATATTGGCTGTTTCAAGATCATTTATTTTTGGAATGCCATAATACTACTTAGTTATTTTAAGTAGACAATAACGCTTTGTTTAAATTCAGGGTGGTTTAACATTCATGGCACTCATTCGTTTTCGAGCTTCCGCTGGTCAGGGTGCATTTAGGGGCGGGATTCCACCTTCCACAATGGATGTTGGAATGGGCAGCTCAGCTGGAATCGATGATATGTATCCTTCGCAGCCCAAGGCCACTGGGGGTCCCATGCCGCCTCAACAGCAACAGCCAATCGGTGGTGGAGGGGGTGTTGGTGCCGTCAATTCCTCTTCCTACTACCCCCCTCCCACATTTTGACCTTGGGAATATGTGTATTCTCCTGCTACGAGACACTACCTTCTAGTTTCAACGCATTCCATTCCTGTTGTGCATTTGAAATTGTTGTACAATCTCTCCTTGCTCGATCGATTCACTCGTTGTGATATTTCTGATCTCAGAACAGCCAGATCTCTAACTTCATTCCTTTGCTCTCTTCCCCTGTACTTGATAATTTCATTAGTATACTCTCCTCAATCATGCCACATTACTACAAAATATGTCTAACAGCTATCATTGTTTCTAGTATAGATGTGGGACTAACCACACTTCGAATTTCTGATTTCTTGCATTGGCAATTACGATCCATCTTTGTCGCGCACGTTTATTTTAAATCTCTATAACGCCAGAGTTTGGCATTTTGAATACTCTTAAAAGGATACCAACATCACTAAACCACCATTGAGGCACTTTCATCATCTGACTGTGCTAAGATCTAGAATATGTCCTTTAAGATGAAGTAAAATAAAATACAAAAGAAACAAGATTTCTAGTCGAATTCGTGGTGAGTCAGTGCGGAAAGTTGAAAAATCACAATTCCGTCTGTTAAAGAGAAATTTCGAACAAATTGTGAAATAGAGAGTTTAAATAAATGGTGCTATATGTATACTTTCAAGTTCGTTTAATATAATTTTTAATTAGGAGTTGGGATGCAGATGCTAGGCAAATTCTAGAATTGAAATGACCAATTATATACATGAAGTTCTTTTATGATGGATCGACATTAGGGTTGAAGTCTTATTTAACTCTCGGTTAATGAACACTGAAAGCATGCGTTGCGTAACAATAAAGTACAGTTGCCTTTGAAATAAAGCTCAGTATTGCTCTCAGATGCATTTGCTTCCAATAGAATTCTTCCTTACAGGTACGTGACAACAACAGCTTTGACACAAAAAAGTTTAAGATAAATTTTTTTGCGATAGTAAACGGTTTATTTATAGGATTTAAAGCAGAAAAAGCCGAATTATGAGTAATCAGCAGCGCAAAACTAATTGCACAATACCGAGAAATCAATGATTTTCGCACGAGTTGAAAAAAATTAATTAAAAGCAAAGCGAAATGGAAAATTAATTTAACTCACTAATCGAAATTTTATAATACCTTAAAATACGTTTACTCGAGAGATAAACGTGTGGCTTGTCTTCAATCTCGAGAGGAAATTCACTATTTGAATCCAATCAATTTAGACTGGATATCCCCTTGCAAAATTAGTGCCATTCCTTAACACTAGCAGAGAGAATCAAGGATCGAAATTGGCAATAGGGTATCGAATAATCGTGATTGAATGAGAGTGGATAGGGGTGTAGGGGTATCGTCACAAGTCTTGACAAAACCTTGGAAATCATTTCAAGGCAAAATGCTCTTGCATAAAATTTATCTATTTATTTCAAATGGCAGGCTTTATGATATTTATCACTAGCCCTTAATCTTTGACTTCAGCTTGCCCCATGGGTAGGGGGTACATATATAGCAGTTAACTAATAGCAGTTCATTACACTCAAGAAGGGGGGGGTACATTTATAGCAGTTAATTGATAGCTATTCATTAGCTGTCTTCTTGCTTCCCAGTATCTT